CACAGCCATGCTGATATAGAGCCGGTATCGCTCTCGTACTCGAGTGCCGAACTGTGTGTGGAGAACCGTACCGTTCGATTTTTTTCCGCAAACCATTCCACCCCTAGTTGTCACTTTTAATAAGTTCTTGTGACTCACGTGAAAGGTGAGTCACACGATGCAGTGCGCCTGTGGCATCACCTAGTGTGTTCACAATTGAGGGATCTCAAGATGGTACGAGAGGATTAATGTTGCCATGGAAACTGAATTAAAGGGGCAATTTTCCATAAAAAAAAAAAAGATTATTACATTTGAGAAAACTGCCAAGTGATTTTTGAAATGCGGTATTTTATTTAGAATCAGGGTTGACCACTGAAGAGCGATAGGGTGGTGTGAACTAAGCCACACACTGCTTATATGCACGAGCACCATGTATGAAAAGCAATGAGGATGTGTCAATATTTGTGCTCCCTCACCATGATGACAGCTTCAGGGTAGATGGCCTCTGTGACCACGTCGCGGTTGTGTGTGATGTACTCCACCATTTCATTGAGGCCAGCTCGCTTCACCTCTTTGTACTTGAGGTCACTTAGTGGATCAGTCACAAAGTCGAAAAGCACACAGCACTGCCGCAGTTTCTGGACAAACAGTTCTTCTCGATCCATGGGTGGGGCATCTGGAATGGGAGACACAATAAACAAAACAGCCTGAGTGACACCTGTCAGACAGGAGATGGGCGGCAGGCAAAACAGTCAATCAAACCAACCTGCAAACCTCCCAGGAAAGATTTCCAGAGCTCTTACTATGCTATTTCACACCAATGCATCATTTAAACAGAGCTCCTGTTTAGGAGGCTCTTTGGTCCACCAGTTTCATTTACACCGTCCTCTCACCTTGACCGTGAAACTCATATGTCTGTCTGTGTGTTGTGAACTGTGTGTCCCTGCATGAGCTTGTGGAAAATAACACTGTTCTGCCAAGGCAACACACTGCTGCAATTATAAACAGGCCATAATGGCTGGACTCAAATCAGGTGACCAAGTACTGGAGATGGGCAATATAGGCTACTGAATATTCAAGATATAATCATAATGCTTTTGCTCACTATATGCTACCATTTAAAAGTTTTGGATTGGTAACAGGGCTCCAGACTGCGGCCAATTTTCTGCTTGTGCGACTAAATTTTGTAAGCGGTCGCACTGGCGTGACCACCGCATTGTTTAACGCATAAGCGCTGCCATTTCTGTTGCATATGTGAAACATCAAATGGCAAACGAAACTGAAAGCATAACGAAACCGCGTTACTCGTTTGAACTGCGCAGCGCTTCGAGTGTAGAGCCTGGTTTATACTCGCCGAATCAGCACGAGTACGAAGGTGCGCGCTAGAGGTCAACCGATTGATCGGCCGGCTGATTAATCGGACGATTTTTGCCATTTTTCAATTAATCGGCATTGGCCGATTGTGCTGCAAATTAGGCCGATTTATAGGCAGGCGCATCTGCGAGCAGCTAAGCGTTGTTGTGGAACACCGGAGAATCTCTCTCTGGCTGCGTGAGACGGAGCAGCTCACACTCTGCAGCCGCTTCTTGTTCACACACAGCTTCAGCTAATGATGGCAGAGCAAAACAGACCGTTTCGAAAGCGTAATCATGTTTTACCCTACTAGAATTGATGCCGGAACGTTATCATATTCATAAGTGCAAGTCATTTGCATGTGAAAGTAGAAACATATGCAATTCAGATGAAACTTCTGGGCTGATTATAACGTGCACGTTAACTTTCCTCATGAAATGTGTGTGTGGGTCCGACAATAGCCTCCACGATATCATCGCTCGTGGCCAGCACACTCTTAAGCAGTTATGAGCAGCAGGCTGTTTAATATGTGTGAACTCTTTTATTTTTGTTATCACTTGGCCATTTGACTTATA